CACACTCACCCACACATACAAGCACCGCAACTGATGCAACACGACATTACAGAGAAGAATGTGTGTGTGTAGACTAGAAGCGAGTGTCAGATCCTGTTGCTTGACCTATTTGAGATAGTTACACACCCACACTCACACTCCCACACACACACAGGACACACAGCACACACAGCACACACACACACACATTGTCACAGACATGGCCACATTGATAATTCCGTTTCCGTAGCTTGTTTGTCGCCTTGCCTGCTCTTAGACGGCCCACTATTGCTCCCTAGTACGTGTTAGCTTCGACTTATGGCCTGCAGTTTGTTTTGCGGCTTACAGTGCGGATTAGGTGCATTAGATTGAGGCGCTAGGCGAGATTGAGTGAGCGAGAGAGCGAGAGAGAGAGAGAGAGAGGAGAAACACGAGGCAAAAAACAGAGGCAAAGCTACTTTTGCAATTGTAAATTCAACTCATTCATTTTATTCATATTTCGCTTGCAGATGTGAAAACCAAGTTAAAAGCAACAATGGCAGATGAGTGGAGAGACGGTCACGTAACACCAGCGGATACGCCAGGATGCAGGCACCGAGAACATCCAGGACACAGCAACAAAAAACAAAGTGTCCGCTGACTAATTAATGCTGCTAAAATTAAAACAGATCCCAGACTCTCAACTAGAAAGAAGCCTACAGCCTGCGCATGAAATTGAAGCAAGTCTATTGGCTACTTGAAAAATAAAATATGTTGGCAACTTACTAAATGCGAGCAGAGACAGAAGCCACAGCGACGAGTCAGCGACTGCGAGAGTGCAGAAGGGTAATTTAATTTCGGGGCAGGCAGAGATTAGGGTGGGGGGCTGTTTAATGGTCGTGGCACGTGTTTCCATTTCTTGTTGGGTGTTGCATGGTGCTCGTGCTCGTGCTTTCTCATGATCTAATAATTTGCGTGCTATATACATAATTATGATGTGTTGAATTTGTCGCCAGCAATTTCTAATATTTCTTACCTGTGTATTATTTCTAATTGTGTCTAGATGTAAATAGTCATTATAATTATTATATTAAATCTGTGTAACAATAACAAAAACAACAGCAACAACAACAAACAGCAACCGCAACTGCAACAGCAACTGCAGCAACAGCAACAAAATTATACGTTTTTGAAAATTTAATAAACAAATATTTATTACGACATTTAGTATTTGTGCATTAACTACATTTATAATGAATAAAGCAAAATACAAAATACAAAAAAAAATAAATAAAAAAAATACCAAAACAAAAGCAAAAAATAAAACTATTAACTAGTAATTATTATAATGTGATGTTATACATATAATATACATATATACATATATAAAATAAAAATAAATAAAAAATCTATATATGTATATATACATACATATATATATATATATATAAAGATAGAAAGAAAAAAACAACTTTAAACAGAATGTTAACCAACAAACGATTAAAACATAATGAAAAACAAAAACAAAACATTTTATTAAGTAGATTTTTGAATTACAATTTAATAATACGTACATACATACATAAATAAAAAATAAAAAAATAATAATAATAATTAAAACAATTGGAATGCAAATTTTTTGCGCAAGCAAAGCAAATGCGTTTTTCTACTTCTGAACCGATTATAAATTATTAACTCGTCGAAATCCGAAACTAGAATTGTAAATTTTTCAAATTAGCTTGCTATTAACAAAATGTAAATGTTGTGCGAAAATAAACAATTAGATAACATACAATTGAAGTGGAAATTGAAAACTATAAGCAAAATATAAAAAAAAAAATAAAATTACTTTGTGTAACAAGCAAAAATAAAACAAAAATTAGCGACAAATTTGTCATTACAAAAAAAATATATTTGCAATTGAATGTCATTGATTTAGTTTCTTGTGTGTATTTACTAAGCGTGCTAAGTACAATTTCATAATCTATAAGACCGGCTCGCAATCCGAGCTAGATATTGATTCAGTGTCAGTTATACAGTATAAGCTATAACCAGCCTTGTTGTTCATATTCAATTTCCAAATTGCACGTTTTCTTCTCAAATAACTACAACTCTTGTACATTATAACGAAATAATAAGAAATTATTTATATATATATATATATAAATATATTATACAGAATGAAATATAATACATAATATATGTATGTACTTACACTGTTAACGGCTTACATACATACATATATATATATATATATATGTATACTTTAGTTTTCTACATAAATCGCATTTCTTCCACTTTCACTTAACACTTAACACCGGCTAAGCAAGGAAAGAATTAAACAAACGGTAATCTTTCATTTAACGAATTAATTTTTTTGTATTTTTAATGAATTTGTGTTTCTTCTGCCACGCTCAAAATTATGGCGAGCCCAATAATTAAACTCGATATAAACATTAGTTTCTATTAGTTTTTGTTATTTATATTGTTAAATAAATATAAGTTTCGATTCGCAATAAAACTACAGTTACAAATTTGAATTATACATTAGTATATATTTTCAATATTTTCGTTTTTCTTATATAAATAATACTATTTTTATTTCATCATCAACTTGGCCCAGCAAATAATTTGTACAAAATCGAAAAATATTTAACCCAAATCCTTTCCAGACACAAATCACACATGGAGCTAAACAAAAAATAAAAGCAACAAAAAATACAAATAAAAAAAAAACAAATTTAAGCGCAGAAGTTCAATTAATAAACATTAGAATTTTAATATAATTAACTAGTTACATAATTTCAATATTTATATGCATAAATATTTAAAAATAAATTAATACAAAAACAAAACAAACCAAAAAAAAAAAAAGAAAATTAATTAATAAAATACGAAAAAGAAAATTATATTAAAAATGCATAGAAAGTGAGTTTCATAAAACCCAAAAACAATTTGTTTCAGACTCGAAAAATGGTGTACTTTAAAATTGAATAAAATTCAACAAAGTTCTCTAGAGAGAATGCCCAAATTGAAACAATAGGTCGAAAAACTGCTTTCATGTCGAGAACTGATTAGTCGCGTATTTTGTTTGACGACTTTAAAGCTCTCAGCTTGCAACCAGCTTTTGCGGCACACTCCAATTCCTTTAAGCTGCACACACACAATACACAATACAAACCGTATGCAACATGTTTATTTCGATCATGATAATGATCATGATGATGTGTTCGCCCAATGTAATGCGATTGCATTGGGAACATTTACTTACCAACAATAATTCCAGGCATATCGAAGCATTTCAAACACTTAGACAGCAATCAGTAAAACGGCACAAAAAAAAAAATGAAAAAAAAATTATAAGTAAAATATAAATAATAAAAATTAAACGACGGCAATAAAAGAACAAATTTAGCACTTAAAAACATTCAAAGAATTTCGCTGACGACAGCTGAGATGAGAAATGTTTAAGAGAACAGACCCACACACACAATCGTACACACAGATACACACAGATACACATACACATACACATACACACACACACACACACAGGCACACAATAAATAAATGAATGAATAAATAACAAAGTGAATATTAAAAGAAAAAGGGATTCACTTATGTGTATGATGTAGATTCAAAAAGCAATAATACTGAAAATATGATTAACAAGTGGAACACAGTAAGAACAAAAGTAAACAATTAACATGAGCATAAATGAATATTTATATATATTTTATTTAAAGTTACATATACATATATATATATATATACATGAAAACTATATATATATCTATATATATGTATATATATATGAATTAGCAAGCAAAAAGCATTGAATTGAAATTGCTAACTTTGCAAAAGTTTAATATTTACAAAATATTAAAGTATCAATGTGCAATTGAAAAGCGTTTTAAACCATACGCAAAATAAAAGCCTATACACGCCTCCAGATATATATATATATAAATACATACATACACACATACATAACTATAAAATACATACATATATTAAATTAAATTGTATACATACAAATAATATAAAACTGAGAAAGGTAAAAACTCAACAAAATAAAAGCGAACGAAAATCATTTAGAGTTGCGTGCACATCCAGTAAAAAATTAAACGATTTAAATATACAAATAACATATACAAACAAATACACACGAACACACACACATACACCACCTATAACATTAAATCAAAAATTAAAAAGAAACTTAAAACTGTACTTATTATAAATTATTATATAACAAAACAAAACAACAAAAAAATGCAAATAAAAAATGCAACAGCAAAAACAAATACGGTTCAACTCAAGTTTTTGAGCAAATACTCATAATTGTTAAAAATGTTTAAATACTAAAATACATAATACAACAATACAAAACCAAAAAAAAAAATATATACAACAAAAATATATATATTAAAATAATAATAAAAAAAAAAAAGAAAAGAAATGAAAAGAGCCGTGTAAAACTTCATATTAAAAACATACTTACATCTCTATATATTTTTCCCTCTTTAGACAATTTAGTTAATTATTGAAAGTAACAAATAAACATTACAATTAAGTGTTAGTCTTATATACATACATAATTATAAATATAAAAAAAATGAAAATCACAAAAAAAGGAGAAACGTGAAATGAGTAGCGAGAAAAGGAAAACGAGTCAACAAATTTCAAGTGCGATAACCAAAACCAAAAAAAAATGAAAACGAAAAAAAAAACAAAAACAAAAATCAGCAAAAAGCATTTTAAATTAAGATGATTGTTTCGCCATTTGTGTTAGAATCAAATTTGTTGTGTTGTTTCATTTCTCATTTTCAATTGGTCAGACATCAAATGATTTACTTACATTGATTGAAGAATAAAAATTATTAAACAAAAACAACAAAAAAAAAATATAACATTCTTTTAAGCATATATGTTTTCTATCTATGGCGTGCACATGGCTTTCAGGCTGTTAGGTATCCAAATATTTTGTACCGCCAACATTGAATAGTATCCATATTAATGAATTCATTTACTCAATGCAGGAGGATAGCTTATCAGTATGGAATCGGACTGCCACTGATATGACCAGTACAACACGTATCCGTGATACGTTACGCAGGATATTAAATATACCTCTAACAACTGCAATGGAGTATAAGATACACTGTGATAGCCTTAAATACGTTTCAATGTAAGTATCCAGATGCATTTGCTGCAACCCACCCACTTACAGCACCAGCAATGTTCAACATAGTAAAATAAGTACCAACTGCCTTAGGCCCCACAGTCATTATCGAGTTGCAAATAATTCTTATAAAATTGGAAATTGGAAATTGAAATCTTGGTGACGCTGATGCAACAAATTGGCAGGGGAATCACAGTCATTTGCAACAAATTAATTCTTGAACTAATCGAATGAAATATTCCTCTTGTATTTTGCAGTAATAAAGGCGCATTGAAAAGCTGAAATTCAGTGAATAACTACAAACACAAAACAAAAACAATAAGAAAAAAACAAACAGATGATTTAGTCACTAGTAAATGGAGCAACAATAATGCAACAACACACACAACAACATCAGCAATAACTTCAACCACAACAGCAACAACATCAACAACAACATCAACAACAACATCAACAACAACAACATCAACAACAACAACAACAAGCACACTAGCAGACACATAAATGCGACAGGCACAAACAAAACAAGGACATCAGGCCCTGATGATAAATACTTTATTGATTATGCTGATCAGAATGAGATTGATGATTTGATGAAGTACCACACAAAGACTACCCCAACTCCCTAGCCCAAAAAACCCAGCAACTATAAAACCCAACATTTAAGCGCTAATCATACAAATCTGTGTATTTTCAACAAAATTTTACAAAGTCAGTTGTATATATGAAATGCCATAAATACTTTAGTTTGTATGTATAAAGTTTTTACATTCAGTCATTCCCAATTAAAACTGCTGAGCCAAACTTAATCAAAATTCTAAGCTGCACATTTTTGGAAATCATTGGCAAAATACAAATCCATGTAACATAGAATTACTTGCTACACACCTACAAGCCCCTCTCTCCCCCCCCCCCCCCCAAAAAAAAAAAAAGAGTATATAAATCATCCCCTACACAATTGTATTAGTACGAATAGTTACAGCTTATAAGCGCCGTAGCAGCCTTTTCAAAACTATGATCTTTGCCAACATATGTATATATATATATATATATATATTCAGTGAAAGAGGATGAATTACACACTCACATAAGCCAGCCCCAGTTAGTGGTTACTATCTTTATCTGTTTGAAATGATTATTTTAAAATTATTATAAAAAGGAAACTGAATAATCAAATTGTTTGTTTTTGTTCATCAAGAAATACAAGTTTTTTACATGAAGAAAAGAAAAAAAAAAAGAAAAAGTAAATATTGAAACAAAAAATAAAACCCAGTTGTTTACATTTATATATGAAGATGTACATATATACTTACCTAGCATGTATACACATACACACACACACACATACACACACACATTTTCTCCACAAACTTACAGTACAGTACAACCAACCTAGAACCAGAAGTCTAATAAAGGATACTATTAAAGTTGCAGAAACTATTTTAAAATAAAAATACGTGTTCTCAATGATCTCTAATAGCATGTCTAGATGGGAACACGTCGCATATATTTTTCCGTTAATCAACCAACGCGAACTTTTTTAAATAAGTATCTCAAGGCATACTTTTCAGCTGAGCAGTAAAATCAGAAGTAACCTGCTTTAACCAAATCAAAAACTGTTGCATACTCTTAGAGTGTCAGATGGCTAGGACAATTGCTTTTTCAGGTAAACACCTTTAGCTCGGCCAAATCAAATTTGCAATTGCAAATTTCTTAAGGACCTGGTGCGTTAATTTCGCTCACAGGCATCAACTCTATCGATCGGCATTCAAATTTATGTGCGTAATCCAAATACACAATTTCGCTCCGGGGATAAATGAAAAACTGCCAAAATGCACACAAATCTTAATAGCTCGGAAACTATCAGGACGATTTGGATGCCTAATTAAAACGAATCGTTTGCCACATAAGGATACGGCTAAGATTTGATAACTTTTCTATAAAGAAAACCCCTTCAATCTTGGCTCGTCCTTTTGAATGTGTGATTCAATCTGGCAGCACAAAGATGTTGCACTTTAAAAAATAATGCTTGAACATCTTTTGTAAATTCTGAAAATGTTTGTTCTATGATTACAAAGACAAGACCCATTAATTTGCACATCAATTATCATCAATAAATGTTTTATTAATTGGAAAAAGTGGCTGCAAAATCGATTATAAATTAAAACTTATGATTAATTGCGTCAAAAGTGTCCAGCTCATTTGTCCTCGTAGCAGGTCAAATCAATTATATAGACATTTGATATGAGACAATCGCCCTCCTGCAAAGTAAACGAAGGTTTGTATTATTTGAATAGATGAAGCTAATAGGTTTTACAACATACCGCTGGAGTGATGCCGACCAGAGCATCAGCATGACCATAGAACTCTTCCTTGAGAGATATGACAATTGTCTGCAAATTGGTCGTATGATCTCTGATATACGACGCGACTTTGCCAATATTTGTGTTATCCAAGGCGGCGTCGATCTCGTCAAGCACAAAGAACGGCGCAGGATGATAGCTTTGAAACGGAAACAAAGACAAGCGTTAGAAGCATGTGCATACATATATTTATGTAGATCTGGCTCACCTGTGTGTAGAGAAGAGCAGAGCAAGTGCTGCAATGGTTTTTTCACCGCCACTCAAATTGCTCATAGGCTGGAAACGTTTGCCGGGTGCCACACAATTGTAATTGATGCCATCGAGGTAGGGTTCCTCGGGATTATCAGGTCCAATGTACGCCTGGGCGGCTTCGTTGCGTGCCAGTTTCTTGTAAATGCCATCGATGGCATCAGATATATGCTGACAGCATTGGACAAATCGTGAGGATCGCTCATTCTTAACCTTTTCAAATGCAGCCTTAGCCTTCTTAGCTTTGCGTCGCGCATTCTCGAACTCTTCGTTTGTGGACTGCACTTTCTCTGTGACAAGATCCAGTTTCTGCATTGCCTTCATATTTGGCGTTTGTATGCGCTCGAGCACATCCAGCTTGGCTTGCAGATCCTTCAGCAGTTGCTCATTGGTTTTCTTGAAGGCGGAATCATCTTTAAGTTTGCACAGCTCACGTGGCAGTGATCGATAATCTACCTCAATGCTGATTGGAATATAAATTAAATTGTTAGCTGGTTACAACTATCTACAGCAGCAGCAGTAACTCACAGATTGTCGTTCATCATGGACGTCGATGGCTCCAAACTATCTACCTCACTTTGGCGCACAGCATCGTCCAGAGAACCTTTCAGCAACGGTACCACAATACAATCGGTCTTCATGGAAATAAAGTGTGTTAAAACCAGAACAAATTTCTTTTGGTTTTCATACGTACTTTGGCCTGCAACAATATGTTCTGTCTCTCGTTTTTCTTCGCCTCGATCTTGGACTCCGCTGATGACATCTGGCTGCCAACATTGTGTATTTCTTTCGCCAAGTTTGCAACATCTCTTCGGGCTTTAGAAATGTCCTCTTCCATGTCATCTACTGCCTGCTTCTTGGCTTGCTTCTCCTGCTTGAATTTCTCCATTTTCTCCTTTTCCTCATCCATTTCCTTCAAATACCGTGCCTCGGCCGTTTTCAAGCCTTCCAATGCATCTTCCTCATCCTGTACGCTGCGTTCCCAGCGACCAACGTTCTCTGAAATCGGAATTTGGTATTTAATATTTAAGAGAAATTACATTTGATGATATACTACTCACTTCGCGTGTCCTTTTGCTTCTCGAAGTCCAGCTGGTTGTTAATACCATCGATTTGCTGCTCGAACTCGGCACGTTTGCGTGCCCGTTCCTGTTGCATGACCAACTCGCGCTCCTCGTATTGGCGTATGTTCTTCAAACCCAGGCGATGGCAGAAGGCGGCAAATACTTTATCATCCACATTATTCATATTCTCCTTGATCTCCTGTATATGCTCCTCGCGATCCTGCATGCGACGCTCGATTTCGCTGATCTTGGGCTGTGCATACAATAAAATGGGATTATTATTTTTATTATTTATTTGCATTATGCATTCAAAACTCACCCCAAAGTCATCCAGCTGACTCTGGACCTGCTGCAACTGATTATCATATTGGCTAATAGACTTTTTCGATGACTCCAAGTCCACCATGCTGTATTTGAGTCGATTCTCGAGACCCTTTATCTGTGACTCAACGGTTGCTAGCTCGCTCTGTTTGCGAGACTTTTTTACCAGCTCCTTGAGCTCCTCGTTGAGGCGCTCCTTCTGCATCTTTAGCTGCGCCATATGCTTTTCGTCCCAGCGTTTGGCTTTGCGTGCCAAATCGTGACTACCACCAGAGATCAGACCGGACTTTTGATAGAATGTGCCATCCAGGGCAAGGGCATCGAAACGCGATCGATCGATTTCGTAGGCAACCTTCATTGCATCCTCTGGCGTTTCGCAAACCAGTGCATTGCCAGTGGCGAACAGAACGGCACGCTCGATCTCCTGCGGCTCGAACTTAAGCACATCGAAGACCAGCCGCACATTGCGTGGCTCACTGATGTTGCGCAATCGCTCCTTCAATGGCTTCACTTGCAAGTAGTCCAATGGCAGAAAGGTCTCCACCTCCAACATTTGCTCTTTCAAGATCTGCAAAACACGTAGAGAATAAACACAAAATAATATAGAAGCTATATGGACTTGGCTAGTGATGATGATCAAGAATACTTTATAGAGTCGTCGACAATTATAATAGAATTTTTGACAGAGCTCTAGGAGATTAAGATACACTATTTGACCACACACCTGAATGCAATGGCGCGCTGTTTTCTCAGTGTCCACAATGATGGCTTCCATAAACTTGCCCAGCACCTTGGTGACGGCCACGTTGTAGCGCTTGTGCGTGGGCTGGCACATGTTGATCATGCGATCGTAGACGCCGGGCACCTGTTTCTTAAACAATTCGACCACCTCCTGTTTCTTTTTGCGACGGGCATCTTCGTGCTTGTCACTCTTTGCGTCGCCCAACTGATCCCGAACATTCTCCAGCTCATGTTGCTTTTCGGCAATTTTCTCCTTGGAGCTGCCCACGTCACGTCGCAGCTCGTCCTTGATGCGATTTTGCTCCTCGAGTGCTGCTTGAGATGATTTAATGTGATCCATAAGCTTGTCCCGCCGCTTGACAGCTTCTTCGCGCTGCAAGGATAACTTCTTATAAGACTCTTCGACAGACGCCCTGCGATTCGTTTCGCCATCAAGCATATCTTGTTCCGATTTCTGCTCACGATTGACCGAGTCCAACTCGGAGCGATATTGTGTGGCGGTCGCTTCTGCTTCCTGTTTGAGTCGATCATATTCCTGTTGAAGTCCCTCCTCCATATTGACGCTTTTGCCACGTCGCTGCGACTCGTTCTCGATCTCATCCTCGAACCGCTTCTTCAACAGCTCCACATCGCTCAATTGCTTCTCCAGCTTTTGGATATCCAACTGGTGTGCATTGTCCGCCTCGCGCGCTGTCTCCAACGTCTTCTGCAAGGACACCAGCTTTTTCTTGCAATGCGCAACCTTTTCCTTTGCCTTTATGTATAGTGGACGTCGTTTATTTAGTTGCGTCTCGAATTCACGTATCTCCTGATCAATTCTAGCCAAATCTCGAGTAATTTTGCCCGCGTCTTTCTTCTTTTCACGAAGCACCTCGTCAGCAGCCTCTTTGCGTAATTCCACAGCTTTCAATTCCTGCTGCTTCACTTCCAAGTCGGCGTTATACTTTAGAACGTCCTTCTCAACGTGAAACAATCGAAACAATTGATACTCAACTTGTTTTTCGTTCTGAAAAGAATGAAATGCTCATCAATACAGGACAAGTTGAAATGCGTTTAAAATGCGTACATATTCATCCTGTAAGCGTGTGTAGCGTTCCGCTTCCATTTTCTCATGCTTGGCCTCTTTGCGTTCGGCAGCGATGCCCTTTTTCTTCTGGTACGTAAACTGTGTCTCCTCCTCAGCGACAATCATTTCCTGCTTGAGACGATTGTAGTCATCCTTCAGAAGTCCCGAACTAGCAATTAAACATACAATAAATGCTATAAATAATACTATCTGTGGTGATTCCTATGCGGCTCACCCGCTAATTTCTTCAAAGAGCGCAGTGCGTTCCTTTGGCGTTTTCATTGCTATGTTTTCGACAGCTCCTTGGAACACTAGAAAATTCTTTGCCTTCACATTGATGCCAAGTTTTTCCAACTTGTTCAGGTAAGTGTTGCTCGAGACGCTCTGAAAGTGTACAGCTTAAGTTTATTACTGGGAGAATACACGTAAGCAGGGCATACATCGCCATTGATGCGGTACTCTGAGGAGCCGCTAATTACTGCGCGTTGAAAATCCATATGCTTCTCGCCATCCAAAATAAATTTGGCCGTCACATAGCAGCTGCGCGCCACTGGCTTGCCGATGGATGAGCCATGGATTAGATCGTTTAGTCGCTTCACACGCAGACTGGAGGTCTTTTCGCCCATTACAAAACTGATGGCGTCCATGAAGTTTGATTTGCCAGAACCATTGGGCCCAATAACGGCATTGAATTGCTTCAAAGGACCAACAACAATGTGGCCGCGATACGATTTAAAGTTTTCCATTTCGATGAATTGAAGAAACGCAGTTTCTTCATCTGACTTGCGCGCAGCAGGTGCCATCACTCTGTGGCCTATATCCTCATCGTCTTCAGCCATTGTACGAGATTAAAAGATTAAAATCACACAAAAAAACCGAATATTTAATAGATTTTCCAAATTCTCTTCCACTAAGAAGCTTCTCTTTTGTATTGCCATTCACAGCGTATTGCCACCAGTGCTGCAAATTACAAACAGTAAATGAAAAACATTAATCGAACCTGAAACTATCGATATGGTAATACTGCTCATTTCGATTAGCTATCGAAAAGACTAGTTCTTAGGATGCAGTTTGGTGTGCTCAAAATAAAAACATCATAAATAGCGCCCGATTTTAATTTAATGACAATGACACAAATTTAATATTTGAAAGAAAAAAATAAAGACTAGGTAAAAGTTTTTCGATCGACAACTCTAATAATTTTTGCCGTTGAGAGGTCTACCAACAGCATTGAAAAGTCGATAGTAAATTTCATTAAATAACAATGTTTTATTTAATCTGTATCAATAACATTTTCTTTGCTTAACGAAATAACATAATATATAATAAATGCTGTGAGATCTAATTAATACTAGTTATCATTAGGACTCTTTGGTTAAATGGCTGCTATGTTTTAGTCGACCTCCTCGACTGTGGGCCCCTTGTGGGAAGCTTGAGGATTACCGCCTCCGGCTCCAGATGCTTGCTGGTGCATCTTCGTCATGACTGGACTACAGAATTTAGTCACCTCCTCCAGCTTATGTTCGTACTCTTCCTTCTCCGCTGTCGTGTTGCCATCGAGCCACTTGATGGTCTCAGAGCACTTATCGAGCACACTGCTGCGGTCCGACTGGGTGAGCTTGTCGCCACCCTGCTCGGCAGCCTCTTTCACGCCAAATACATAGCTCTCCAGCTGGTTGCGAGCAGCGATTCTCTGGCGATGTTTCTCATCCTCTTCGGCGTAGGTTTCGGCCTCGCTCACCATGCGATCAATGTCGGCCTGCGAGAGGCGACCCTTATCATTCTTGATGGTGATGTTCTTGGCATTGCCTGTGCCCATCTCCTTGGCATTCACATTCAGAATGCCATTGGCGTCTAGGTCGAAGGTCACCTCCACCTTGGGCACACCGCGAGGTGCTGGTGGAATGCCGGTCAGGTTGAAGGTGCCCAGTACGTTGTTGTCCTTCGTCAAAGCGCGCTCTCCCTCAAACACTTGGACAGTCACTGCGGGCTGGTTGTCTGCGTATGTGGTGAAAGTCTTCGACTGCTTGCAAGGAATGCGGCTGTTTCGCTCAATTAGCTTCGTCATCACTCCACCAGCTGTCTCTATGCCCAGTGAGAGCGGTGCTACGTCCACCAGCAGCACATCCTTGATGGCGCTGCTCTCGTCTCCAGATAGAATAGCAGCCTGGATGGCTGCACCGTATGCCACCGCCTCGTCTGGATTGATGGACAGATTGAGGCTCTTCCCGCAGAAGAAGTTTTGCAGCAGGCTTTGAACCTTAGGAATGCGTGTTGAGCCACCAACCAGGACGATATCGTGGATTTGGTTCTTGTTCATCTTGGCATCGTTCAGCGCCTTCTCCACCGGCTGCAGTGTGTTACGGAACAGATCGCCACAGAGCTCCTCAAAGCGCGCTCGACTAATCTTTGTGTAAAAGTCATGACCCTCGAACACGGCATCTATCTCAATGGACGCTTCCGTGCTTGAGGACAAGGTGCGCTTCGCTCGCTCTGCAGCCGTCCTCAAGCGACGCAGCGCTCTCGGATTGGAGCGCAGATCCTTCTTATACTTGCGCTTGAATTCGTCCGCCAAATGGCTAACCAGCCTGTTGTCAAAGTCTTCACCACCCAGATGTGTATCTCCAGCAGTGGCTCGCACCTCAAACAGCGAACCCTCGTCAATGGTCAGAATGGACACATCAAAAGTGCCGCCTCCCAGATCGAATATCAGCACATTGCGCTCGCCCTTAAGATTCTTATCCAGGCCATATGCCAAGGCGGCTGCAGTTGGCTCGTTTATAATGCGAAGAACGTTCAGCCCGGCAATGGCACCGGCGTCTTTGGTGGCTTGGCGCTGTGAATCATTGAAGTACGCCGGCACAGTGATGACGGCGTCTTTTATGGTGGTACCCAAATAGGCTTCGGCTGTCTCCTTCATCTTGACAAGCACCATCGAGCTAATCTCCTCGGGGGCAAAGCTCTTCTGTTCACCCTTGAACTCCACGCTCATCTTTGGTTTGCCGCCGTCGCTGACCACCTTGAAAGGCCAATGCTTCATATCTTCTTGAATCTTCGAGTCATCGAACTTGCGTCCAATCAAACGCTTGGCGTCGAAGACTGTGTTCTTCGGATTCATGGCCACTTGGTTCTTGGCCGCATCTCCGATCAGCCTCTCAGAATCTGTGAACGCCACATAGCTGGGTGTGGTCCGGTTGCCCTGGTCGTTGGCTATTATCTCCACCTTTCCGTGTTGGAAAACACCAACGCACGAGTACGTGGTGCCCAAGTCAATACCAATAGCTGGCATTCTGTTGTTTATTTGACTCTCTTCTCGATTGACAATCTCTATCCGTTTTCAACTTCTTGCTGTTAAAAGCAATTTAATGTGTTTCGCGATTTTCAATAAATATTAATAATGCTCTTGACTGTTTTCTTTTTTAAGTGTTAGCTTTTCAGCTTCTCTTTTCCAGTTCACTTTTTGTGTATTCGCAATAACTGCTTGTTTGCAACTGTGCCGTGGTGGAATTTTGCTCTGCTATTTATACTCAAATACCGAGTGGTGGAAATTTTGAGATACCCCTTACAAGAACAGTGCAGAATGTTCAAGACGCTTCAGAAAAGTGCGAGAGCGAGATACATACATTAGTATAAATTATATATATGTACATACAATTCATAAACATATGGAAACGAATTATTTTTAGCATAAAAGTAAAAATACAAAATATAAATAGAAGTAGAAGTAGAAATTCAATTGAAAATAGAAATTCTATTATTGGTTTATTACGAATTTCTACGTCATGTCGTGGGTGGTAAAAGTATCTTTAAGCCAAATGCATAAAAAACACATTAATTTCTTTAGTGGCCATTAAGCATTCTACGTAGTGCTATTAGCAGAAAATTTGAGGACGCTTCGATGTATTGATTAGTCCATTGTGTAGCTTATTTCCCCGAGTTGTATAATAAATAAAGATTTCGCCACCATGAGTCCGCAATGGTATGGACTCTTCAGAGCACCAAGTGAAGTAAGTGAAGGGCTGATTCTAAAAGTTGAAACTGAAGTAGATAAATAAATAAACAAGGACACACCCAAGATTACTAACCCTAGCAAATCTGCTGGCATTTAAATTTTAGTTCGGATTCCGAAATATTTTTTTTTTGTACGCTTTAAGCTAATTTTATTTATGTTTTCTGTTTCGCGATTGGCTTTTAACTGAATTATCCATATTTGTGTAGTAGTTTTGTCTCTCATCGGTATCCTTAGTGTCTACGCCGATCTCGATCCCACAACTTAAAACTTCTCGGTTTTCCTAAGCAAGCTATATAATATAGTGATCCGGTCCGGTCGCCTCAAAAAGCGAAGGCAAAAGAACAGATTTATAGTTTCACCAAGTTATATAAGCAAACAAAATACATCAAATTAATTTACTTAAGAAAAAACTGGTTTATTACAGCCCACTCAGCATATACAAATAAACATAATACGTATGGATTTCTGGCTTAAATATTTCTATTGAAAATTATTGTCTGGTAAAACGAGATTTGCGATTTAAGCAAATATTCAACTGCAAACCAGATTCCATTTAAGTTGGCATTAAATATTGGACTGGTCAGTTTTTGAAAATAAACATTCCCCTTTACGCATACCCATTCCACAAGCAGTCGAACACACTCTATGTGCCTCACTCGCACTTTCCTGAATCGTCTCGAACATTCTGCACTGTTCTTGTAAGGGGTATCTCGAAATTTCCACCACTCGGTATCTGAGTATAAATAGCAGAGCAAATTTCCACCACGGCACAGTTGCAAACAAGCAATTATTGTGAATACACAAAAAGTGAACTGGGAAAGAGAAGCTAACACTTGGAATAAGAAAACAGTCAAGAGCATTATTAATATTTATTGAAAATCGCGAAACACATTAAATTGCTTTTAACAGCAAGAAGTTGAAAACGGATAGAGATTGTCAATCGAGAAGAGAGTCAAATAAACAACAGAATGCCAGCTATTGGTATTGACTTGGGCACCACGTACTCGTGCGTTGGTGTTTTCCAACACGGAAAGGTGGAGATAATAGCCAACGACCAGGGCAACCGGACCACACCCAGCTATGTGGCGTTCACAGATTCTGAGAGGCTGATCGGAGATGCGGCCAAGAACCAAGTGGCCATGAATCCGAAGAACACAGTCTTCGACGCCAAGCGTTTGATTGGACGCAAGTTCGATGACTCGAAGATTCAAGAAGATATGAAGCATTGGCCTTTCAAGGTGGTCAGCGACGGCGGCAAACCAAAGATGAGCGTGGAGTTCAAGGGTGAACAGAAGAGCTTTGCCCCCGAGGAGATTAGCTCGATGGTGCTTGTCAAGATGAAGGAGACAGCCGAAGCCTATTTGGGTACCACCATAAAAGACGCCGTCATCACTGTGCCGGCGTACTTCAATGATTCACAGCGCCAAGCCACCAAAGACGCCGGTGCCATTGCCGGGCTGAACGTTCTTCGCATTATAAACGAGCCAACTGCAGCCGCCTTGGCATATGGCCTGGATAAGAATCTTAAGGGCGAGCGCAATGTGCTGATATTCGATCTGGGAGGCGGCACTTTTGATGTGTCCATTCTGACCATTGACGAGGGTTCGCTGTTTGAGGTGCGAGCCACTGCTGGAGATACACATCTGGGTGGTGAAGACTTTGACAACAGGCTGGTTAGCCATTTGGCGGACGAATTCAAGCGCAAGTACAAGAAGGATCTGCGCTCCAATCCGAGAGCGCTGCGTCGCTTGAGGACGGCTGCAGAGCGAGCGAAGCGCACCTTGTCCTCAAGCACGGAAGCGTCCATTGAGATAGATGCCGTGTTCGAGGGTCATGACTTTTACACAAAGATTAGTCGAGCGCGCTTTGAGGAGCTCTGTGGCGATCTGTTCCGTAACACACTGCAGCCGGTGGAGAAGGCGCTGAACGATGCCAAGATGGACAAGAACCAAATCCACGATATCGTCCTGGTTGGTGGCTCAACACGCATTCCTAAGGTTCAAAGCCTGCTGCAAAACTTCTTCTGCGGGAAGAGCCTCAATCTGTCCATCAATCCAGACGAGGCGGTGGCATACGGTGCAGCCATCCAGGCTGCTATTCTATCTGGAGACGAGAGCAGCGCCATCAAGGATGTGCTGCTGGTGGACGTAGCACCGCTCTCACTGGGCATAGAGACAGCTGGTGGAGTGATGACGAAGCTAATTGAGCGAAACAGCCGCATTCCTTGCAAGCAGTCGAAGACTTTCACCACATACGCAGACAACCAGCCCGCAGTGACTGTCCAAGTGTTTGAGGGAGAGCGCGCTTTGACGAAGGACAACAACGTACTGGGCACCTTCAACCTGACCGGCATTCCACCAGCACCTCGCGGTGTGCCCAAGGTGGAGGTGACCTTCGACCTAGACGCCAATGGCATTCTGAATGTGAATGCCAAGGAGATGGGCACAGGCAATGCCAAGAACATCACCATCAAGAATGATAAGGGTCGCCTCTCGCAGGCCGACATTGATCGCATGGTGAGCGAGGCCGAAACCTACGCCGAAGAGGATGAGAAACATCGCCAGAGAATCGCTGCTCGCAACCAGCTGGAGAGCTATGTATTTGGCGTGAAAGAGGCTGCCGAGCAGGGTGGCGACAAGCTCACCCAGTCGGACCGCAGCAGTGTGCTCGATAAGTGCTCTGAGACCATCAAGTGGCTCGATGGCAACACGACAGCGGAGAAGGAAGAGTACGAACATAAGCTGGAGGAGGTGACTAAATTCTGTAGTCCAGTCATGACGAAGATGCACCAGCAAGCATCTGGAGCCGGAGGCGGTAATCCTCAAGCTTCCCACAAGGGGCCCACAGTCGAGGAGGTCGACTAAAACATAGCAGCCATTTAACCAAAGAGTCCTAATGATAACTAGTATTAATTAGATCTCACAGCATTTATTATATATTATGTTATTTCGTTAAGCAAAGAAAATGTTATTGATACAGATTAAATAAAACATTGTTATTTAATGAAATTTACTATCGACTTTTCAATGCTGTTGGTAGACCTCTCAACGGCAAAAATTATTAGAGTTGTCGATCGAAAAACTTTTACCTAGTCTTTATTTTTTTCTTTCAACTATTAAATTTGTGTCATTGGCCATAAACTAAAATCAGTCGCTGCTTGTGATGTTCCTATTTTGAGCAAACCAACTGCATCTTAAGAAGGAGTCTTTTCGAGGAGGTCGACTAAAAAATAGCAGCTATTTAGAATTTCAAATGATAAATAGTATTAATAATTTATTTTATTGTAATGATTCGATCTTACAACCAAAAATTAATTTATAAAACTGTATGTATTTTACGTAATTTAAAATATATTCAATAAAATTAATAATGATAAACATATATAATTCATTTGAGTATGTTTGTGTCTTTGAGTATTTACTTGGGCAATCCTTCACGCTCTGCCCAATCCAGCCACGAACCTTCGTAGTTTTTCACATCTGTGAAGCCTAAGGCGGCGGCTGCTTCTGCTGCCTTCAAGCTGCGAACGCCACTCCTGCAATGGAATATTAGTGCTGTGTCGGGATTTGGCTTATTGCGTCCATATTTTGATTTGAAGAGCTGGTCACTGGCAGCCAGCTCTTGACTGACAATGCCCAATGGAATGTTAATGCTGGATGGAATTTGGCCAGTTTCCTTTAGCTCCTTTGGCTCTCGCACATCAATGAGCAGCTTTTGTGGCTCCTTTGACAATTTCTTGACGACGGCGTAATCCACAATTCCAATAGCACTTTTGTTGCTGCAAAGACGTTTTGAGACGCCGATAGAATTTTGATGGAGAATTTTCGATTTGAACGGCAGATTATAAGTGGAGTCAGTAGCTAGATGTCGCACTGTGAGGCACGTTGCTCTAATTGCAACCTGAGTATATTTTAAAAACATTTTTTGCCTGTGCCAAAATATTTTAAACAACAAACGTTATGTAAAATTAAGCGTTTGTGGCAATAATAATTAATACAGCGCCGGCAGTCAGCTGTTTAGAGCACAGCGTTGCCAGACTACAATTTTCAAGAACATTTTGTTTAAATAAACAGTTGCGTATAAAAATCTGTTAGTTCGAAAGTAAATAAATATAAATTTTGTTACCAACCGATTGCATGATCAGAGTGTGTGTCAAGGCAAAGCTCAATCGAGCTCACATCACGTGTTTTATTGAACGAATAGCCATCCGTTATTTTGTATGCACACACATACAACATATGATTTAGTTGAGTGTGTGTGTGACGCCTGATTTGTTCAATTAGTTGTTTAATAAACTTGCGATCCCGGACTCAATTAAACCTTTATATGGGCATGCTACATATAAATATAAAAAAATTCAATATATTTATAAAGAAAAAGCAACAACATTTTTCCCATAGAACTGATAAGCAATGAAATGCTTACACTGCTGCTTCTCAGCCATTGCATGATTTAAGATATGAAATGAAATGCTTACTTCTTATTTATAAATGTACATAAGTAAAGTCACGATCCCGGACTCAAATACAAATTTGTATGTACATCCTACATACAAAGTGTATATGTATATTAAGAAGGCCAAAGAACATTGTTTACATCGAACTGATAGGCGAAGAAATGTTTACAAACCCTCAGTCATTGCATGTTTTAAGATATGAAATTAAATACATTTTATTTATAAATGTATATAAGCAAAGTCACGATCCCGGATTCAATTAAACATTTGTATGTACATTCCACATACAAAAATCCAAAGAACACTTTTTACATTGAGCTGATAAGCGATGAAATTTATTACATTACTTACATTTCTGCAGTTATTGCATGATTTTACATATATGAGACGAAATACTTCTTATGTATAAAAATTTATAACTAGGTGGTTTTATATATGCATTTTAACGTTATAACGAATTTATCTTTATCGCATTTTTTCTTGCTTTACAAACATTTCAGTCTGGCGATGTTTAATCAGAAACTAGAAAGCACTTAATCTGACTATGAATTTTTTTCCCATGGTCCGCTAACATACTATTCACTGATAACACTTTAGAGGTGCCTGAAAAGAACATGAGGTCAACGCCTTTGTTAAATGATGCATGCCTTAGAAAACGATTGAATCCGGGTGGGCTGGGAATAATCTAATTGATAGACTTACATGTAAACACCTTCCATAAGGGCGAGTACGGAATAATGTTTGTTGTTGTACATCAAAGATTATGAAAACTTGTAAACAACATTTTCCAGACATATTTATCAGGTTTATTTAGTTGTTTTTTTTTGTCTGCTTTTTTATTAATCAAAAAATATGTAAACATTTATGGTTCTTACTACTAATGAAATCGCAAATACAACTAAATCATTTGGCAACTAAATACAAATAGGTACATAAGGCTAAATCTTCTATAGCTTATACAAATAATATGTGTGTAAAAGATAGCTTATGATCGAATACAATACACGAACCATTCGCATCGATTAGGATAAGTCTACTAATATAGACTTTTAGTCATATACAGTTATGGCCTCTTCAGGAAATTCATCATTAATTGCGATTCGCAGCAATGTGTCCCAGGGATTCGCCCACTTTTATTGTTTGTCCAGCGACAATGTCGAACTGAAAGTTCTTTGGCGCCTCAAACAGCAGGACAATGGTGCTGCCCATGTTGAACTGGCCAACTAGATCACCCTTTTCAAACTTTTGCAGGGATTGCTTCCCGTGCTGTTTGGCATTTAACAGCAGCTCGTCGTATTCGTAGGTGCTCGGTGGATGGGCGCCGACCTTGAAACCGTTCCAACGATTTGTTTTTAGCTCGGAGTCCATATAGATCTCCACAGAGCCCACATTGGTGGCACCCACCGCTGTGTAGCTAAAGAATCCATGATTCCAGTGCCCCATGTAGAGCACACGCTCATTCAGACAGAACAGTCCCGGCAGCCAGCCGGCCACCTTGGGACTCACCGACAGCAGCTCACCGGAGAAATGTCGTCGCACTGTCGGCTCCCAGGCGGTGGGTGAATGAAAGCGATGATAATCGCCCGGCGCCAAATATATGACGCACTGATACAGCTCTGTGGAGCCATCGCGCTTTTGCTTGAGGGCCTGTGCATAGCTCATCGCCTCTCTCGATTGCTCCACCGTCTGCAGCGGTCCCAAGAAATCCTCGATGCTATAACTGACGCCCTTCACCTGTTCGATCAGGGAGTCGCTGGCGCTGCCGAAATGCAGCACTTTGCCATCGGCAGGTGAAACCAGTGGCGATTTACCATTAATAACCCGCACGCCCTCCTTCAGGGGACGTGTAAAAAACTCAGCCATACTGCTGTAGTGATTAAAATCCGAATACAAAGCCTCCTCGATGTTAACCTTAAACATGCTCGAGTACCAGCCGTAGACATACGGACGCAACGGATTGGGCATGTAGCAAGCAGCCAGCCAGCCCCAGCAGCGACTCATGATGCGCAACGGCAGCGAGCAGTAAACGCGCGACTGGAACTCGGAGGCGGTGCGTGGTGCACCATCCCGAATGGAACGAAATTTATGCAACTGCCATTCGATGGCACCAAAAACGCACAGACCCATGGGTGCCCAGCGCAACAAGAAGCCGGTCCAGCGTGAAATGGCATTGCGACGCACCTGCAGCTGGGTCTGCTGTTTGCCGATAGGTTGTTGACCCTGCTTGTTTGCCAGCTTGCTTGTATCATTTTTGGGCAATTGTCGAAAGTGTCGCACGAGGGGCAAATTGCCATTTCTTTGAGTATGCTTCGGCTGCAGCTGTTGCTGCTGATCCTGGATGGTCTTGCGCAGGTTGCCAGCCTTAAGCAGAAAGCGGGCGCGCGGTACGAAATATGAAACCATTTTCAAATTTTCTCAAGATTTCCCACTGTTGTAGGTGGTATTGTTGTTGCGACCACGCCGCCGCAGTCGCCACTGATTACGTATTACCTGTTAACTCTTGTGAGCGTGCGTTGCTCTCTACTCAGCAGATTGAGTACGTCGTTTGTGTGCTTCTGTGATGCGAAAAATTAAACTAAATGAACAGATACTTATTTCAGTCTGTATACATGCGCATGTGGCTGCAGCTGGTCAAGAGTTTAAGTCAGAAAATTGCTGATTCAATTCAATTCAATACGAAGTGAGAGGGCGCAAAAGACTTCCGTATTGCAGCACTGCCTGGCGACAACTGAAACATTGAAATGAACGCACAAGCGTCGAAGAGATTGAGATGGTTATTTGTGTGTTGAAGGCGCCAATACGACTACGTCGCATGTGGTTTTTTGTGCGTTGCGTTTTCCTCACTCACCCAAAACAAAAGCAATGCTCTGCGAGAGAGCGTCTGCTTATCAGCAGTAGTTGCGGGTGATTTGTAATAACAACAAAAGCAATCGTTGTTCAAGGTTGAATTGGCGCACGCCTAATTCTGTTAGTGGACCAAACAACAAACAAACAAAAACTGGTTTTAGATTTTACTGTTTTTTATGTGTATTTTTCCAAGCTTTGCACGCATTTGTTTTGGTGTCTTTTGTAATACGTATTTAACTGCGCCACAGCTCTGTTGGCGAAGGGTGGCAACTCTGCAATCAGCACTGCAAACAGCTGATTGATGATTGGATTTTACATTTTGTTGCGAAAACCGCAAAGTTTTATGCTGGAAAAACTTTGACTAGGCGGAATCATGAGTGAGGCGGATAAGCAGCCGGTCTCGTTCGCCTGCCAACGTTGCCTGCAGCCCATTGTGCTGGACGAGCATCTGGAGAAGATTAGCGAGCATGCAATGGCTGAGCTTTCATGTGGGCAACAACACAAAATAGATATACAAAAAATATGTAAAAACTTATATTAATTAATGTTACGTTTGCTTACAGTGCCAATCTATGGCGGCAATGTGAACACAATTGATCCACAGGATGCCAACAGCTTTGACCATTTTGTGCCGCCTTTCAGACTGACTGACTCAATCAACGGCACTGGCTTTACTATGGTCTCCGATGGATTTTATAACAAAAAACTGAGTGCTGGATTCAAGCTGAAAGCAGAGCTATTTGATTGCCTTTCTTCAAACTCGGAAATTGATCATCCACTGTGCGAGGAGTGCGCCGATTCCATGCTGGAGATCATGGACCGAGAGCTGCGCATTGCGAAAGATGAGTGGCATGTTTACCAAACGTATCTCAATGAGCTGGAACAGCAGCAGGAGGGTCCCAACGTCGATGCTCTTGACAAAGAGTTGGAGGAACTGAAGCAAAGTGAACAACAATTACTAGCTGAACTGGCTGGTCTTAAGGCCGAGGAGAAAGTGTTAAATGCTGCCATCGAGCAGGAGGAATTGGAAAAGGAAAAACTGCATGAGCAAGAGGAAATCTACTGGCGCGAGTACACCAAGCATCGGCGCGAACTGATGCTGACGGAGGACGACAAGCGGAGTCTCGAGTGTCAGATTGCCTACTCCAAACAGCAGCTAGACAAGTTGCGTGATACGAACATCTTCAATATAACATTTCACATCTGGCATGCCGGGCACTTTGGCACAATCAACAATTTTCGATTGGGTCGCCTTCCATCCGTCTCCGTTGACTGGTCAGAGATTAATGCTGCCTGGGGACAGACAGTCCTGTTGTTGTCAGCGCTGGCGCGTAAAATTGGTCTAACATTTGAACGGTATCGCGTGGTTCCGTTTGGCAATCATTCCTATGTCGAGGTGCTGGGTGACAATCGGGAGCTACCGCTCTATGGCAGCGGTGGCTTTAAGTTCTTTTGGGACACCAAATTCGATGCGGCCATGGTGGCGTTCCTGGACTGCCTGACACAGTTCCAGAAAGAGGTAGAGAAGCGCGATACCGACTTTCTGCTACCCTACAAAATGGAAAAAGGCAAAATTATTGATCCTTCCACGGGCAATACGTACCCCATCAAGTGAGTAACTAAAGTCAACTAAAATTGCTCATCAAATTATTAAATTACTTTTCTTGCAGAATACAATTCAATTCGGAGGAACATTGGACGAAAGCCTTAAAGTTCATGCTAACCAATCTAAAATGGGGGCTAGCCTGGGTGTCGTCTCAGTTCGTAACGCAATGATTTATGCTGTCGCTTAACTGTCATTTTATTTAACTATAGTAATTAGTACTACACAAACTATAAATAAATCCTTTAACATTTAATTAATTTTTGTTTTGTGTCAGCTGCGTCGGCTTCGCTGTCATCGGTGTCGGAATCGCTACCAGAAATCTCGTCGTCCATCCAAAGTGCGCCTTTTTTCTTCTTTATGAGCTTCGTGTTTGAATCGTTGGCATTGGCTTTGCGCTTGCTGCCAATTGTTGTAGTATTTGTGCTGGATGTGGCTTTGGGTGCATCGCTGGCCACTGGATCAGTCAGCTGTTTGAGGCCCTCCTCGAATGCATTGTTCACCTTCTCTGTCAATTTGGCGCGTGCCTCCTCGTATTCCTCGTCCTTGAATTCATGCTTTGGCACCGCCAGCAGCTTCTCAATTTTGCGCTTCTTACGCTCCTCTGCTTCGCGTTCACGCTCTCCCTGCTTCTCTAGCCAAGCTCGGACGCGCTTCTCCTCGTTTATGTCGCGCAACCGACGGCCACTCAAATCGCGGCATGCCTCACGATTTGTGGTCTTCTCGATTTGAGCGCCAATCGCACGCAACATGGAACCGAATCCGCCCTTGCCGCCCACCTGCCGAAGCATGCAATGGATAGTCTGCATTTCATTTTGATTGGAAATATTTCGATTCAGACGTTTGCCATTGCTGAGAAGGTAAAATTCGTCGGATTGCAAATGCTATGGAAAATGTTGGCATTAATTGTTAGATTACATCAGATATTTTAATTACTTACTGTTGCCTCTTCGATGTGTGTGCATATTTGTTGAATATCTGTGGTATTGACAGTAATTAACTGCTTATTGTTTATTAAAATATTAATCATCATTTTATGAATTTTCTTTTCTACTTTTGTACTTCTTGGCTATTCTGCTTTGTGCAGCTCCAACTGCCGTTTTAGCGTGCGTTAGAAAGAGAAAGCGGTGATGCAAGCGTTTATCAGGCCGGATAGCGTTGCCACATTATCCACTGTTAATTGAAATGTCCAAAAAATTGTTTAAACTTTGTTGATTTAATGTGGAAAACAATTGTTATTACTACATATAATAATGTAAAAAGCTTTTATGATCGAAGCAATAGTAATTTCATTGTTTTTCGGACATTTGCCAAGTTGCCGCCATTGAAACAATACATTTGAGCCGAGTTGGCAGCACTCACTCTCACACACAAAGTGCTCATTTAATTAGTTCGCATTTTAGACGACGAAAGGTAAAAATTTGGCGACGCGTTTATAGAACTATTTCACCAATTTAACATAACGGAAGAAATTGAAACTGAACAAAATCCGGTAGCGATTGTAATTTGCTAACGAATGATATGTGTGAAAAAAGCGATGCGAAAGTGAAATGCGGTAAATTTACAGTCGCAGCCACGTCACAGAGCGCAATAAAATTAAGTGAATTTTGGGGAACGAAATCAGAAATTCTAAGCTGAAGCGATGCCAGCCACGAACAATGGACAGTGTACGGACGTTGGCAGCAGCAGCGGTGGTAGTTGTGTTAATGATAATTCTAGCATTCTGCATCAGTTTCAAGAAGGAGGAGGAGGGGTAAAACGGCGAATCGAACAACGCTTAGCATAAAAGATGGCAGCAGAAAAGTGAACAAGAAGAAGAACATACATATGTACACACACATACATATATGCATTTGTATATTGTACATACATATACATAAATATATATATTCATTTATGCATGTGTAATATATAAATAATAAAAAAAAAACAGCGCGATTACTAAAAAAAAAATTGTGGTTGTCTGAGTAAAGAAAAAAACCTGTGTAAACTCTGCAGATAATTTGCATTGAAATTAATTTTAATTTCAATGTTCAACTACCAAAAACAAAATAGCAAAATAAGTGGCAACTCATGTGAGCAGCAACCGAAGAAATGCAAACAAAAAAACAATCGCGACGCCTTCTGATTTTTCCGACCGTGTTGCCGCGGTTCATTTTATTTTGTTTTGCTCATAGAATCAAGATTATGGCGAATTAACATGCAAATTAAATTTGTCATTTTATATTTATATTTTTGCAATACTACTATCAAGTCGATTACTTATTATTACTGATATTATTCAACTAATGCAACCGTGCATGTTTTTTTTCGGCCGGTTTCGGTTTTTGCAATTTTCCTCTATCTCTCTGTTCTCTTCCATTGTGTATTTTGTTATCGACGGTCATTCATCTCCTAGTTGATTTTCATTCTTTCTTTCTCCCTCTTTTTCTATGCGCGCGCGTGTGTGTGTGAGGGTTTTTTAACGCTCTATAATTACTTTTGCTAAAAAAATATTAAATTAAATCAAGGAAATTGCATGTATTTTATTTATTAAATACAACGCCAGTTGCTGAAGCTTTCATCGATGAGAGAAATAAATACGAATAGCTGAGACTGCTGCGGCCCTTGTTTCACATTCTGTTTTCGGGAGAGCGCTCTCGTGCGGGTGTGTGTGTTTGCGTATATGTGTGTGCGCGCGTGTGTGTGTGTGTCTGCAATGCTTTTGCGTTACCCGCTGCCTTTGTTTCATATATTCGCACTCTCGAAACTCGTACAACATTATCCCCATATCAAATGCTCGGACTAGTTCCTCAAAGCAATAATTCCGATCATGTGCTGCTGGTGCCTGCCTGCTTGCTTGTAATGTATTATGTGGATTGTGGGTTGTGAGTTGTGGATTGTGTTTGCAATTTCCACACAAAAAATATAATTAAATATTTAGCAGTCACACAAAACGAACATTCTTTTTCTCCATCCAATTATTTTCATCATTAATTTTATTCGTCTTCATCTTCTTCTTCTTGTTGCAGTGATTCCAGTCTTCAACTTCGAATCCAAAGCATAATCGGGCGAACTTTCACTTGAAACAAACGTTTATATAATAATTCATAAGATTTTTGTACCAGAAATGATCAGAAAGTCAGTTGATTTATATACAACCTAGAGAGCTAAAATTTTTCTACAAAAACAACGCCAACAACAACAAGTATTGGTATATAGTTAAAACAAAAGATTAAAATTAGTGTACAACTCTCATGGAGTATGTACAACCAGACAACAACAACAACAACTGGAGTCAAATAAGCTAGAGAAGAGCACATCAATATATTCCAAAACACTCCATTAGCGCATAGTTAGAATATATATTAAAGAAATTTATCGAGAACAAATTAGGCAGTCCTGCAAAAAAAAAACCCGTAACAAACAGCAACACGAAAAACAACAAATACAACAACAGCGAAAGCGAAAGCAATAAACGACGAACCTCAGCGTTAAGCAAAAAGATTTACTATTAACTTATATATCTAGATCTATATACACGGATATATTAATATATAGATTAGTTGTAAAGTCAAAAATTGGGAAGTATTCAAAAAGTGTTTGCAAAAGATAAAATTTTAGTAAAGTTTTTCGTTGTTAGGTATTAACTGAAGTCTTTAGTTGTTCCAAGTTGAAAAATATATATAAAATATATATATACATAAATATATATATATATAGGTTTTGTATATGATTGTGAGCGTGCGTGCATTTTTTATTATTAAAATAAAATAGGTAGGAATCGCAGGCATCTAGTTTTTTGCTAATATAACAGTGTTTTGTATTGATGTGGACATTAGATATATAGAGAGTAGTTGATATACCCAACACATCCAGTGGATATTTGTAGCAGAATCGATAAGCAATAATCTGAGCCACACAACCAGGCAGACAGTTAACATTTAAATAAACAACAACAAAACAAAAAACAATGGACGAGTCACAACCAAAAACGTTGTATGTGGGCAATCTGGATGGTACGGTATCGGAGGAACTGCTCGTTGCGCTCTTTGGCAAAATGGGCCCAGTTAAAAGCTGTAAAATCATCAGAGAACCAGGCAATGATCCCTATGCCTTCATCGAATATTCCAACTATCAGGCGGCTAGCACCGCCCTGACCGCCATGAACAAACGTGTCTTTCTCGACAAAGAGATCAAGGTGGGTATTACCTCTATTTCCTATATATATATATATATATATATATATATAATATATACATGTGTGCTTTCCTGATGCACAGGTCAACTGGGCCACTAGTCCGGGCAATACGCCCAAGACAGATATCAGTTCGCACCATCACATATTCGTTGGTGATCTCAGTCCAGAGATTGAGACGGAGACGCTGCGCGAGGCATTCGCACCATTTGGTGAGATATCAAACTGTCGCATTGTCCGCGATCCACAGACAATGAAGTCCAAGGGCTATGCCTTTGTATCCTTTGTGAAGAAGGCCGAAGCCGAGAATGCAATTCAGGCAATGAATGGCCAATGGATTGGATCGCGTTCGATACGCACGAATTGGTCGACACGCAAGTTACCACCACCGCGGGAATCGTCCAAGTCGGGTGGCCAAGGTGGCGGCATGGGTGGCATGGGCGGCGGTGGTGGTGCCGGCAATGGCATCAAGAACAACCAGCGACACACCTTCGAGGAGGTGTACAGTCAATCGAGTCCCACAAACACCACCGTTTACTGTGGCGGCTTTCAGCCCCATGTCATCAGCGATGAGCTGATGCACAAACATTTCATGCAATTTGGCCCCATTCAGGATGTGCGCGTCTTCAAGGACAAGGGATTCGCGTTCATCAAATTCGTTGCGAAAGAGGCAGCGGCACGCGCCATCGAGCATACGCACAACACCGAGGTGCACGGCAATCATGTCAAGTGCTTCTGGGGCAAGGAGAATGGCGGCGATAATTCCGTCAACAATGTTAATGCCGCTGTTGCGGCAGCTGCCTCGGCTAATGTGGCCGCTGTTGCGGCTGCCAATGCAGCTGCCGCTGCCGGTGCTGCTGGCATGCAAGGCCAAATGATGACACAGCAACAGCTTGCTGCTGCCACTGGTACTGCTCTGCCCGGTCAAATGATAACGCCCCAACAACAGATCGCAGCTGCTGCGGCGGCGGCGCAGGGTCAGTATCCCTATGCGGCAGCATACCAACAAATGGCCTACTGGTATCCACCGGCGGTGAGTAGCAAGCAGTCGCAGTCCTTATTCTAATTGAATCGATCTTTCACTAACCATCTCCATAACTCCTCCAGCAGAGCTATCCGACCCAGATGCAAACGCAGTACATGCAGCAGGGCTACTATCCTTATGCCTACACTACCAGTGCTCAACAGGCGGGAGGCGTGCGTACGTATTCATTAGTCAATTAGTTTAGTATCTATAAGTATATATATATATATATATATCAATATATATATATATATATATATATATATCAATATATATATATATATATATATATATATATCAATATATATATATATATCAATATATATATATATATATATATATATATATATATATTATATATTCTGTACAATGAAGCTTAAGTTGCCTCTTTGTGCTATGTATAAGTAAAGTAATTTTCTGTTTCTGTGCAACTTTAGACTAATATCGTTTGTAGATTGTTGCATATTGTATTTGCTTCAGCAAAAATACTTTGCTTAATTTTTAATTAGTGTACATATTGTTAAAGCACATCATTTTGTTTGCTCTTGCAGCTGCCGGGTACCGTGTGATGCCCCCAAATATGGCATGGGGTGTGCCCGGTACCACAGTGGTGCCCGGTGTGAGTGCCGCTGCTAGTGCGGCTGCAGCCGCGAACGGTTCGCTTGCCCCGCAGATGATGTACAGCGCTGCGATGCCACAATATCAAACCCAATGAGCTGAGATGTGACGCCTGCTTCGACGACATCTGCTTAATCCAAACAGCCAACAACGCTGCAGCAGCCAACGAGCGCATCCGCATCAGCGACCGCCACCACACCACTTAGTACATCAGTCGAAGATCGTTTCCGAATCATCATCGGATATCAGCACAACCACAGCAACCACCACCACCCTCATCATCGATGCCAACAACAACAGCAACAACAACAACGGCGGCAGCAACAGCAGCAGCAACGACAACAAATCGCAGTTGAATTTACCTTAAAATGTTTCAGTTCCAATCGTTTCTTGCGTTGCGTTGCGTTCATTTTACACATGCGTTTGCTTTTGCGTTACGTTACGCTGTGTTACGTTACATGCGATAACATTCGGATTGATAATTTATCGCTGTGATCAATCACCGTTTGTCATGCAGATTTCGAGTGCGTTTTAGCAAATAAAAGAAAAGAGAAAAAAAGAGTAAAGTAGAAAAGCAGAGTTGGTCGAAGCAAAGCGTTGAACTACAAGTTGAATCGCGTGCAGCAGCAGCAGCGCTTTAAAGCTCTGGGCGACGGACGACGGGCGGGTAGCTGTAACAATCTAATCCAATCTAAGTACATGTTAAAATAATTTAATGATTTGTAATTTAAGGCAGATATAGGCGTATATACAAGAAACGGAAACAAAAACAAAAAAAAACCTAAACTTTAAACAACAACATCAACAATTGAATAAAACAAAACAAAACAAAAATAAAAGAATACAAGAAAACAATCGAAACGTGACAAAGCAAATTGTAATTGTGGATTTGCAATTTAGATCGTTGTTGATGGATATGTGTGTCAACAGAGAGATAATGCAGAGAAATGCAGAAGAAACAACAACAGGCCGAAAATAAAAGCATAAACAAATTTAGTTATTAAGCGATTGTAAATGAGAACACATATTCATATTTGCGATGTGTGAAATATGTATGTAAAATGTAAAATAAAGAAACAAAAAAATATATAAAAAAAAACACTCAAATCTGACTTTCAATTGTCAACATTTAACTTTGAAAATAGTTCGCTTTCGATTTCTCCCCCTAGAAAAAAGCGCATTGGAAATGTTGGTATGTTGAAATCGTTTTTATTTTCCGCTTTAGTTTATATATGTTTTAGTTAGTTAAACCATATAAATTGTTGGCGGCGCTGCATTAAGCTGTAAATTAGCATCGTAAGCAATGTGTGTGTGTGTTTGTGTGTGTTTCTAGGTACAATATAATTTGGTAACGATTCTATTTAAATGATAATAGTAGGCAGATAATAGTATAAATGGAATTGGCTGACAAAAGATGTGGACAACAGCAGCTATTGTACATTAATGAAGCAACCTAAAAATCTAGTTAATGTTTGAGAGCTGCTTCCTTAAATCGGTACTCGTGAAATGTGTCTAATTTATTCAACGTGGCGCAGTTTTTATCTTAGGGCTATGCTTATATCTACGATTAGGTGTAATTATTTATTTATTTAGTTTTTGGGCTGATGTGATGTGTTCACACTAAAACAATTTGTTATATGACTATGGTTGTGGTTGTTTATGGCATAAACTGTACAACTGAATCGCCTTCAATTTAATAATAGTAATATAATAATGTTTTATATTCAATTGGAAGTAGTACAGCTATGGAAGTAGTATTTTGCAAACAATTTATGAATGCCACGAAATAATGCTTAAGCCCTTTAAACGATGTTTAGCTAAGTACATGGAATGTTTACAAATAGTTTATTAACACGATGGAAAAGAGAGAAACACATTACATTTTCCAAAAAAAAAAAACATTGAATGAACTGTTCTTAAATAAAATACAGACATAATAAATGAGTATAATTTCCAGTAATATGTTTAACACAATTTTGCTTAAATATTTCTAAATGTTTCGTATGAGCTACAATAATGTACTCTTCAAATATAGCACTAAAAATACATAGAACGAAGCTTTTCAAACAATGTTAATCTTATAGATAGATCCTAACACACTGGGAGAAAAAATACAAATACAAATGAACTTAAATTCAATATTCATAACAAAACTTGTGAAACAATTAAATCTACTAAGAAGATAAAAGCTAAACGCTTAATGAACGCTCTATAAATTTATTAAAAATAAGAGTCAATGATGAAAAAACTAATGCAGTGGCAAGTTGCAAGTTGCATGTCGCAACTGCAATAACAGCACGAACGACAAAAAGTAAATTCCATAACTCACATCACATACGGTTGCGTCGACTTGGACAAGTGGGCCTTGTTTGGCCTAGATTCGGGCCTAGATTGTGCTTAGCCTTGGATTTTGCCTTGGACTGGGCACAAAACCAATCAGCTGCATTTGTGGTGGCTTGGGTGGGTGGTGTTGACAACGAAAAATATGTATTCATATATATATATATATATATATATAGAAACTAAAGTTTGGGGGGGATTGTGGCGAAAAAAACGCTATCAAACTAAATGGTGATGTCGCCATAATCCTGTGACCATTTCTCGTACGAATTGAGACTTTGCGGCGCCACCGAACGGCGAATGCGCTTCAGGGAATTGTGGAAATCCTTCTCGGTAATTTGACGCATAGCGCTGATGTCCAGACACTTTACCTGCTCCACATTCAGCTCACGTATCGGCTCCAGGGCGGCATCCTTGGCCAGCGCTGTCAAATCGGAGCCCGAATAGCCCTCGGTGATTTTGGCCAAGCGACCCAGGGCATCCGAATCCAGCGGACTGCCCTGTTTCTGCAGCAGACGATTCAGCAGCAGCTCGCGTGTTTGTACGTCCGGCAGTGAAACATAGACGCGCTTGGTGAAACGACGCAACGCAGCCTCGTCCAGCTCTTGCGGCCTATTGGTGGCTGCCAGCACAACAATGCGATCCCCATCCGGATTGCCCGGTAGCCCATCGAATTCGACCAGGAATTCGGTTTTAAGGCGACGCGACGCCTCATGTTCATTGCTGCTGCGCTCCGAGAGCAGCGAATCGACCTCATCAATAAAGATGATCGATGGCTGCATGTGGCGTGCCACGGCGAAAAGAGCACGCACCAGTTTCTCGCCATCGCCCACATACTTGCTGGTCAGCGAGGCGGCCGAGATGTTTAGGAATGTGGCACTGCATTCGGTGGCAACGGCGCGGGCCAACAGCGTTTTCCCATTGCCGGGCGGACCAAAGAGCAGCAGGCCCTTGGCTGGTGCACGCAGCCCTAAACAGCAGTAGAATATTAACATTTTGAATATTTAAATAATATATTAGAATAAATAGCAACGCACCCGTAAAGAGCTCGGGACGCACGGACGGCAAAATGACCATCTCCTGCAGCGCCTGCTTGGCCACATCCTGGCCAGCAATGTCTGTCCACTCGACCTTGGCGCCGCCCTCAACGATCTCATCGAGTATGAGCTGTACCAGCTTCTGTTCCACACCCTTCACACTGACCATGGGCGTGCTGGCGCCGCTGCCACTGCCACCGGCAGCATTGTTGTTAATCGGCGTCCGCGAACGCTGAGGCGGCGTATTGCGTCCAGATGACTACAAATACAAACACATATTGAAAATATAAATATACATAAATAAGCCAGGCTCGAAGCGACTTACAAATTGACGTCGCACCGCCGGCGGAGTCGCTGCTGTTTTGCCTGGCTGGCGTTGCAAGGCGGCGCCAACGGATGTGGAGCTTGTCTTTGAGCCCAGATTGCGCGGCAGCGTTTGTGACTTGTTAACAACGGGCAGATTGCCGGGACGCTTGTTGCCAATGGTCAGCTTACGGCCAGAGGCTGCATGCGAGAGAAATTTCAATGAAAAATTGCTGACTTTTAGAAGAAGCTAATCATTTTTGGTTGGGACTCAAATAAAAGCTAAATCAAATGAAAAATAAAAAATGCATGCAGTGCGCCGTGTGGAAATGCGAGGCAGAGATTGAGATTGAGAGAGAGAGAGAGGCTCAGTGAAAATGTGAGGAAAACGCTGATTGATCGCTTGCAGAGTCGTGGCTTCTTGTTGTTGTCCCTCATTGCTGGACGGGGTGCTTTAGCTTTTGTTTTTTTTTTTTGGATTTTGTTGCTGTTGCAGTTGCTGACGTATTAAATGTGATACGGCACTTACCCGCTGGCATGGCTCTGGATATGTTTGTGGCGCTTGGCTTCAGTCCATAGCCGCTGCTGCGTAACGGTACTTTTGTGGAACCACTACCTCCACTACTATTCGTTTGACCCACCAACATGGGTTGCTTGAATGTATGTTGCTGCTGCTGCTGTGGTTGCTGCTGCGGCGACTTCTTTTTCTGTTGCTGCTCCTTGAGGGACAAGCGTTGCAGTTGCAAATCTTCCTCACGCAAAGCTGCCTCGTCGTTCGGCGGGGATTTATGGGGAAATGGGCGCGAATGGGGGCGCAAATCAAGAATGTGTGCAAAACACAGTGACAAAACAAAAGGTGCAAAAAAAAAAACATAAATCAAAAGAACAAAATAAAAAAAATAACAAGAGACAACAGTTAACTACGGCTGTGGCGAAGTTTAAATACCCTTGCAGGCACATCTATATTATATTATATACTGTATCTATTATTCTTGTCATGCACTGCTAGGGTATATAAACTTAAGCTGTCTCTCTATAACAGCTACTCACCGAGAAAGTGCAGACGATCCCTGGCCATGGAGAGATTGGTCTGCATTTTGTCATGCAGTCGCTGGGCACGGTCCCAGACATCGCCCCGTCCACTCCAGCAGTCAACGGCAATGCCATCCTCCAGCTCCTTGATTCCCTTGCGATACAGTTCAATGGCCAGCTCCTTGTGGCCTGCACAGAAAACATAAAAAATTAGACAAAGGGACAATTGAAACAAAAACTAAGAGAGCGAACGACTAGCAATTACCCTGTACCCATTTCATGAATTAAGAGGGAAAAGTCTAAGAATTAATAGTGACTGAATAATTGTAATATGAAAGGTGATAGTTAACTATTGTTGACTGCAAACTTGCATGCCAAAAACAAGTATACATTCTAAGCAGACTGACCAGGAATTTATAAGCTATATACAAGATCGTGAATGACACTTTTTTTGGTTATATGTTTGCACAACTTTAGGAAACTTAGTTTGTCTATTTCTATTGGCAAAAAAGAATTTACACATGTCTGTGTGCAGCTATTGATTCTCACAGCTCAGAAAAATACGACACGAGATACAAAATATGACACCAACAAAGCCAGCTGGCTGCGTATGTGTGTGTGTGCGGGTGTGTGTGTGTGTGTTGATGACTCATCGAGCACCACTCCAGCAGCCGTTGGAAAAGCAACCCCAAGAAACAAAACACAAAACTTGTATTTACCTTCATTCTCCTCATCAATTTTGAGCGCCTTGGAAATGTACTCGAAGGCACGACGATGATGATGCTTCTGTTTGGCCAGAAGTGGATCACCCGGACCGGGTGAATAATTACCACCCGCACGATTGCCAGCCATTTCAAGCGGTTGAATTGCGCGTTGTCGCTGGGGCAGTGCTTGTGCCAATGTCTGCTCAATGCCCGAAATGTTGCCTCTGCGCTCCAATGGACAATGTATGATTGCCTGCTGATGCTGGTGCTGCTGCTGTTGCTCCTTGGAGTTTTGGACGACAATTTCGATGTTGCAGTCGCGACGATTGGGACTGCGATAGATCACCTTTGTGCTCGCGCCGTACAAGTAGCGAAAAATGCAAAACAGCTGATAAATCAGAGAGCGCAATACGTTGAACAGAAATATAATGGGAAATGAAACAACGTAAAGATTTTGCTTGTGCACCGACGAGTTGCCGCCTCTTGGTGCGTTTCCACTGGTCGGCGTCAGATCCGCATCGGTGGTGGTGGTGTCATCGTCGTCGTTATCCGGTGAACTGCCCGGCGTTGTTGTTATTGCTGTTGTATTATTGTTTGTCGTTGTGCGTTGACGATTATTGGACGTGGGTTTTGAACTGGATTTGCTATTGCCGTCATCGATTAGTGCATCGCTGCAGCTGCGACTGCGATTGGTGGTGCCTCCACTGATCTTGACGGGCGATTTGGTGCTGCTGCTGGCGCTGGACGAGGATGATTGGTTTTTAGTGCGTACCATCGATATCGATTTGGGCGACGCAGCACGCGCTCACAATTTTCAAATGCGATTCTCTTTCCTTCTTTCGCTCCTCATCCACTTCCACCTTCGCCTCTCCAGCTCCACACCCACACCCACAAAAAAAAAACTTTGGAAACGAAGTTTTCCTCTCTTGCACTCCTTTTTTTAATGATTCCGCTAGACACAAAGAACAAGTAATGTGAAACGCGTATGCGATTAAATAATGAACGGAACTGAACAAATAAACTGAAATGGAACACACACTCGACGCGCGCTATTTGTTAATTGTTGTTGCTCATTTTCTCAAATATAGCTGTGTGTGTATTTTCATGAGCGCCGTTTTTTTTTTTTGTGCCGTTTCAATTCACACACAAAACAAATTTTCTCTGTCCCTGCGCCGTTGTTGTCGTTGCCAGACAGTTGTTACAATTCCCATTTGAATGTTAGCTTGCAGTGTTTGGCCAGAAACGTTTTTTCGTTTTTTGTTTCCATCACTTGGGTTAGGTAAATAAAATCATTGTTAATTTGCTTAAGGTCAGCAAATGCATCGAACAATATATTCACAGTTTCAATATTTTTAGTTTTCAAATTGGCAATCGGTCCGGCAGCTCCATATGGATTGTTCTAGGGTTGTTGCCGCATTGCAAACTTTGATGTTGTAGAGTATCGATACGCTTGTCTAAATAAATCAGCTGCCGTTTCGGCTGTATCTGCGGTCTTTGCATAACAAAATTCATCAAAATTCACTGCAAATCCGCCAGAGAAATTCATTAAGATTGCTGGAAACGCAAACGTAAACCGATAACAAGACTAACATAATAATGGGTCAATATACGGCATCGCAGAGAAAAAATGTGCGAATTTTGCTTGTCGGCGATGCTGGCGTAGGCAAAACATCATTGATCCTATCGCTGGTCAGCGAGGAATATCCGGAGGAGGTGCCCCCACGCGCCGAAGAGATCACAATACCGGCGAATGTAACGCCCGAACAAGTGCCCACCAACATTGTCGACTTCTCCAGCGTGGAGCAATCGGATGATGCACTGGCCGCTGAGATAAACAAAGCGCATGTCGTCTGCATTGTGTATGCCGTGGACGATGATGATTCGTTAGATCGGATAACGTCACATTGGCTACCGCTGGTGCGGAGCACATGCAACAGTGCCGATGGCGAACCGGATGAGGCACGCAAGCCAATTGTATTGGTCGGAAATAAAATCGATTTGATCGAGTATTCAACAATTGACAGTGTTCTGGCCATTATGGAGGATTACCCAGAGATCGAAAGCTGTGTTGAATGCTCAGCCAAAACGTTGCACAACATTTCTGAAATGTTCTACTATGCACAAAAGGCAGTACTGCATCCCACATCACCTCTCTATATTATGGAAGACCAAGATGTAAGTTTGCAGCAACAGACAAAAAGAGATTTTAATTAATAATAGTTGTCTTTGTTCTATATCTGTTTACTAATTCATATCTTTATTTGCTTAGCTTACGCCCGCCTGCAAGAAGTCGTTGGTGCGCATATTCAAGATATGCGATATTGATAGCGACAATCTGTTAAATGATTACGAGCTAAACCTATTCCAGAGGCGCTGCTTCAACACACCGCTGCAACCGCAAATACTGGACGAGGTGAAGTCCGTGATACAGAAGAATGTGCCGGATGGCATATATAACGATGCTGTCACGCTGAAAGGGTTCCTGTTCCTGCACTGCCTGTTCATCCAGCGGGGTCGCAATGAGACGACGTGGGCGGTGCTGCGTCGCTTCGGGTACAACGATCAGTTGGAGATGTGCCAGGAGTATTTGCGTCCGCCCTTGAAAATACCACCGGGTAGCAGTACGGAGCTCTCGCATCGTGGCCAACAATTTCTGATTGCGGTCTTTGAGCGTTATGATCGCGATGGCGATGGCGCCTTATCGCCCGAGGAGCACAAAATGCTATTCAGCACCTGCCCATCGGCACCGTGGTCATATTCGACGGATATACGCAAATCGTGTCCGACAAATGATGCCGGCTGGGTGACGCTGCATGGCTGGCTGTGCCGCTGGACACTGATGACGTTGGTGGATGTGGTTAAGACCCTGGAGTATTTGGCCTATTTGGGTTTCAATGTGCACGAGAACGACAGCCAACTGGTTGCCATCCATGTGACCCGCGAGCGTCGCATCGATCTAGCCAAGCGGCAGAGCAGCCGTTCCGTGTACAAGTGCCATGTGATCGGACCGAAGGGTTCGGGCAAGACGGGCTTGTGTCGCGGCTTTCTCATCGATGAGATGAGCAAGCTGCTGGGCAAGGAGTTCAAGACCAATGTTGTTCACTGCATCAACTCGGTGCAGGTCTATGGCCAGGAGAAACATTTGATATTGCGCGACATCGATGTGCGTCACGCTCTCGATCCGCTCCAGCCGCAAGAGGTCAACTGTGATGTTGCTTGCCTTGTTTACGACGCCTCCAATCCACGCTCCTTTGAATACATCGCCCGCATTTACATTAAATACTATGCGGAAAGCAAAATACCCGTCATGATTGTGGGCACCAAATGTGATCTCGACGAGCGACGCCAGGATTATCTGATGCAGCCATCGGAATTCTGTGAGAAATACAAATTGCTGCCGCCGCATCTGTTCAGCCTGAAGACCAACAAAAAGGAGCTATACACAAAGCTTGCCACAATGGCAGCGTTTCCGTGAGTATTTCATAATAATGCTTTCTCATCTCGGAATCGGGGCATTTAACAAGCATTGCGATTTTGGTTTTGGTCATCATCACGGTCACTTTCATGGTCATCCGCTTGGGCTACTCGCAGCACCTTTCACAGAGTTTGGCGAGTGTCGAGTATTACATTTCAACTCGTACACGACGCGAATTCGAATTGCACGCATGAATATAGACAATTCTATTTTGAAATTATTCTTTATTTCATACTTTTTGCCTTACTTTTATATAAATTATATTGAAATCTATTTGTCGTGTCACGAATGAGAGCACGACACGCGCCCAAGTCTAGGCTACATATATTGGATTACACATCTATATATATATACATATATATTTATATCTATATATATTACGTTTATTTTCTCTTATTCCCACTTACTCTTCCCCTCTACGTCTTTGTGTTGGGTGTTCTTGTTTGTATTGTTATTGATGTATTGTGCTTCCTTTGAATGCTTTGGATCCTGGATTGCTGGATTTGTGGATTTATGGATTGTAGGCGCTTTCAAGCCGCCTGGATACTGTTCTACAAGCACAGGTTGGTACAGCTATGGGAATCGGCGTAAGTCTTACATAATCCATTTAAACTCTTACTAATATTGTCTGGTTTGTTGTCTATATCTTTTACATGCGTTGCTCGAGTACAAAATATCATTAACTTCTCTCACATCTACATATACATTTATAACACATATACATGTATAGCACACACATATGTGATTAGCAATAAATGAATGTGCATTTCCAGGAATATACAAATATTTCTAGGCACATTGTGGGAAATGCTCAATATACAAATTGCTTAATTACACCAGCAAATATTGCAATTGATGACTTTGGTTAGCCTCTGACTAATGCACAATTTGTCTGAAATATTTCATAGATATTTGCGGCAATTTGGACTCATGACCGAGGATCCGAATGTGTGGTTAAAAGCCGGCTTGGGCGTTGCGGCTGCCACTGTGCTGGGCTTTATAGTGCTGAAGGCGATAAGTGCAACTGGAACGCATGGACGTTAAGTGAGAGCGTTGAATCTGCCATTTTATATTGGGCTATAAATGAGAGAGAACTTTGGACACAAAATTATAACTGCGCAAAGAAAAAAAAAAACAAAAAACCCAAAAACGTTTATCAATTCATGTTATTTTTCTCGTTTGTTTTGATCGTTGCAATCAAAATTTATTGTTAACAAAAAAATACTACAACGCAAAATAAGGATGTTAAAAAACGAGTTGTGTTCTTCATTCATTAAAAAACAGCGTCATGTACATAAATAATTACTTACTTACAGACAATGGAAATACAGGCAGGGACAGCAAATAGTATCTTCTTACAGTCAAGCACACTATGCATTTCTACAAACATACATCTATATATATATATATAAATACAGACATACAGATATAATATATACTCTTTACTCCCCGATAAGTCTTATTTACGTTTACGTTTATGTCATATTTATGCCCATTTAGTACTCAGACATACATGGATATATATATATATATATGTATACTTATAGCGATCACGCATAAAATGTTGTGATTAACTAGCAGCTCTATATTCTAAAATATATATACTTTAGTTACACACATACATATATGCATATTCATTTAGCGTCGACACTTGTAAATACGCGCAAGTCCCAATGAGCAATAAATCTATTTAAATATTTACTTTAATCTTATCGTGTATATATAGAATATTATTTCAATTGGGTTTTTAGTTTTGAATTGCATTCGCTGCGGCCACAGTGGGTGACATGCAATTGCCATCGGGATATCGCTTCTGGAACTGTGTGATTAGCTCGGGATCAACCAGTCGAATGCCATCCAGCTGATTGCCCAGCGTTATCCAGTTGGGCTGGATATTGTGCGGCCGGCCGAAGAGCTCGATTTTACGTGTGCCCGGACTGAGGCGCTCAATGATGCCGTAAATCTCGTCGGGCTTATGGCTGGTGGCGCGCACCTCCGCCACGATGACATCGCAGTCGAGGCCACGATTCAGGTTCGTCGGATTGCCCTTCATCCCGACGAGACAGTGCTCCTTGCCGTGGTTCAGCCAATGGCCGGTGCGACCAGTGCGTATGATGCGCTGCAGCTGATTCGTTTTCACCCAGATCAGCTCATCGACCCGCTCGTAGCCCCAAAGCTTAAGGCAATCGCGTCCCAACTCCATGGCCCGCCCCGTTACCCAGAGAAATATGAGGCCTTCCTCCTGCAATGCTGGAATGCCCAAGGCACGCATCTCATCGTCGGACATGGTGCCATACGGCAGCTCCATGTGTATATCCCATGGCGGATCGGCCATGACTACAGCGAATTTACCCAAAACAGTCATATCGAGGAAACGCAGATCGCACTGTATCCACTGGGGTGGATACAATGTGCAGCTGGAGTCAACGCTGCGCTTCAGGCTGAGTTTCGTTTTCACGTCCGTCGGCTTGTTGGTGTTGATGTGAGGCAGTGTGTCCACCTCGTAGTGGACGTACTTACAGGTGGCCATGTGGAAGCAGGTGTTGAGGAAACTGCAATCGCCCAATGATTCGTCTGTGTGGGATTGAATTATTTTCTTAAAGTGCAGCTTGGTGCATTTATCCGAATCGCCAGAGGATTCACTGTCATCTGTCGACTCCTGAGAATCACCATCACAGCTATTGATATTCTCCACGATGATTTCACCATCTTCGGTATCCTCGACACTCATCTTGATTATTTTGCTGTTCTTGGCCTCGGCCGCTTTGCGCAACTCTTTCTCCTCACGACGTTCCTGTTTTTTTTTGGCCGCCATTTCGTTGGCCACCTGCTGTGCTTTCAGGCACTCGATCTTGGTGCCGTGTGAGCAAAACTCCATGACCTGAGCGCCGCCATGCGATTTGAATTTCTCGGCCACGGAACGCTCCTTGGCTGTTGGTTTCGTCAGCAGTTCCAGTATTTCCTCGCCGACCTGTTTGCTCTGCTTCTCGCGCGTCGAGGGCAGTGAGAGCAGCATCATAATGTCTTCGGAGGCATCCAGACTTGTCGACTCTTTGCGTCCGCTCGAATCAGTTTTCAGCATTTTACGTTTCAGTCGCTCAACATCACTAACATCATCTTTGCCCTCCTCCACTGTTGGGGAATATATACAAAAATATACTTTTGGTTATGCTTTTAGATGTCTCTCTTACATTTTCGTTTGGCATCCGTTTCCTCCTGTTGCTGGCAGCTGTCGTTGACATCATCGAAGATCTCTAGCAGCTCCTTGGTCTGCACCGAGATGACCTCATAGCCGGCTTCTGTGCCAATTGTCACATTCCTGATACCAATGGCACCCTGGTTGGCTAGCTTGCCGAGTATGAAGTTGACCATTTCCATGGTTGGCGCCTTCTCCATGACGCCAGCCACTTTGTCCACCAGCTGCGTGGACACAATGGGCAATACAAGAGTGCTGGCGCTGAGCGCCTGCAGCACTGCCTTCTGCACCTCCACATCGGCCTCAACTGGGAAAGATGGGTTAATGGATCTTCATCTACTACTTGTTGCTGGTTAATCGGTTGTTCTTCCTCTTACCGAGCTCCTTTTTGGGATTTGTCTGATCTTCTTGCTTGTCTGAGAGTATTTCGAAGCGTTCCTTTTTACGCTTCTCCAGTTTTTCACGCAACGTGTTGCGCTTCGTCTTTAGCGACTTTATGTCCCACGCGTCTGCCATTGTTTATTATTTTTCTTTGCGTTGCCGGAAAATTGCGTTTTGTTTACATCAAAAAATTATGAGGAGAAATATTGGTGCAGCCCTGGCGATAAGTTATCGATAGTATTTGGTGCTCACAGTGCAACCAGAGTTGGTTAATTTTTATCAATGCTATTATGGTGCTTTTTTAACCTTTTTGCTGACTGTTAATGATGCAGATTCAAACTCGAGCTCTATTTGAGTCATTTCTGACTAGTCGGTGCCTAGAATAATTGATAGTAACATATGACTCTATCACACCAATTTCCATTAATAAAATGTGATATTTTGTTGATTTGCGGTATCAAGTCTAACCACGGACTGTTAATAACATTGCAGCAAACTGTTAGTTTGTTGTTGTTGTGAGTGTGCCCGAATGCTGCTGTTAGTATGTGTTTATCTAAACGAACAGCGGACGTTGTTGATGTCTCCGCGATTTTTTGCTCAATAAAACGTGATAAAATTTATAAACAATACATAAAAGAGTTTGTTACTTAAAACATTGAAGATATATTATCGAAAACAAACAAAAATTGTGGATGTTGTTATTGCTGTTGCTTTGCTTTGAATACAATTGTAGGTATATGCAGAGACATATACGCACACATACACATACTCACAAGCACTCACACATATACACGTATGTGCATCCACTTTGTGGGCCTTTTGTTACTTTTTGTTTATGCGCGCGTAGGAGAGCATAAAATGCGCGAATATACACACACACGGATAGAAAATTCGCAAATATCACCAACGTTGTTATGTTTGAATGTGTGTGTATGTGTAAGCGTGTGTTTGTGTGTATGTATGTGTGTGTGGGGGAGTGCGTCCGTACATTATTATTATTGCCGCTTGTGCGCTCTTGACGCGCCCCAGCAACGAATTTGCTTGCTGCTCACTGAATTTCTCTCTCTTTCTCTCTCTCACACGCTCTCTCTCACTCTGGCTTCAGCATGCGAAATTGAGCGACTGTGAGAAATTTATAACGCGACATTTGCACGGCTACTTTGGAGCATGACGGTCGTTTCGGGATTTGCATCGCTCTGATCTAGTCTGATCCAATAGAAGTAGACACAGCTCGTACGTGCTACGAAAGCAGTGAAAATTCTGTAACAGATTCAAATTGGATGCTTGCGCAAAAGTCGTGTTATTGATTCGATGTATCCGTGTGTTTTTGTGTGAATTTTGCAGTTGCAACAACTTAGGTGCTCCGTTTCCGTTTTCATCTCCTCTCGTTTGCACGCCTGCTCGGTTTCGGTCTTGGATGCGTCGTGATTCTGTGTATACTATAACGACCAACATTTCAGTGCGTTAAGGGCAGGCAGCAGCAGCCACTCAATCGGTGCAACGGTGAAAAAAAAAAACAGATTGGAGCAGATACTACATACATACAATATATGTATGCATATGTATAAGTGGGGGAAAAAAAAGTTTGCCACGCTCCAAACGCTACTTTCGAAAAAAAATGAGAAATACACAACATTTATACAATAAGTTAAATGGAATTCAACTGCAGTCCACATTTTGCTAGATTCATAATGTGCAACAGAAAATAACAAGCAGCAACACACATACAAAACCAGCTAAATAAATCCATCAACAACAACAACAGAAACTACAATTGCGATCACAACAACAACATATATTAACCATGAAGATGGTGGACAAATCGTCCAAATTGATGGATAAATTTGTCTCAAGTGGCAGCGGTGGCAGCGGCTCAGCCTCTGCCTCGGCGGGCAACGCTGCATCAGCCACATCGGCGGGATTAGGCATCGGTGGCATCGGGGGCATTGGCGGCATCATTGGTGCAGCCAGCGGCAGCAATATGACGACAACAAACAATGGACAGAAGCCGGTGCCCATGAAACTGTTTGCTGCCTGGGAAGTCGATCGTACGCCGCCCAATTGCATACCAAGGTGAGTGCAACAAGAGCAACATTTGCCTAATTTCCAATTGATAAAGATATAGCAAGTGCAATAGGGAGGGAGAGAGAAAGGTAGATATATATGGATATATATAGATATAGGTAATATATATATCGATGTTTTCGCTTTTGCAATTTGTATATCCATTAAAAATGGGAAACTGGGTGTAATGAAGTTGAGAAAAAGTATGTAACAGACAGAAAGAAGCATCTGTGACATCATAAAATATATATATTCTTCATTATAAGTTCTCAAGATTATTTCGTCTGATCGATAACTGCTCTCGTTTCGCGATTATCGATATAATTCGTTTACCTATAGCGATAAAATACACAAGACAACCCTAATATTGATCAACTGTAAAAATTATTCTTAGAACTGTTTAAGAACTGCAGATAAGAAAACGCAGAAAATGTATTTTCATGTATTCATAACAAGATAAAATCAGCAAGACTACTCCGTATTCTATCCTTGCCGAGCTCTTTCGACTACAGCATTCCAATTTACTTTTGTCGTATGTTTGCTATAGAGTATTTTAAACCCGCCATCAAGTAAAACAGAAAAATACGTATTTCTTGTTGAATTATTTTTGCATTTCTTTCTATTGTTAGCAACAACAACAATAATTACATAACAATTGTATTGTCATATCTGTTGTTATTGTTTACTTGTATTGTTGTTGGCATTGTGAGACAATTAATTGGCCTTTTGGCTTTTCCTCTGACTTGACATTCATGCTTGCGGGTTTTTATTTGATAATACTGCTTGGCTCACAACTTGTTTATTGGGTCCTGCGCTAGTGACCTCAAAAATATATTAGTGTGCTTAATATAAAAATTGTGTGTTTGCTAACACGAATGAGTCACTTGCAGATAGAAGATGCAAGATATATTACTTTGTCGCATATTTACACAAAGATAAAGTTTAGATTTCGCTTTAAAATTAAACAACCTTTAACCGCTTTCCCTTTGAAATTTTAATGCGCAATTCCTGCGAACCGCAATTCCATAAAATCGATAAATATAAATATAGAATTATTAGGTACGGAACGCATTTTATGGCCAATCTTTTTAAACTTGATGTCGTAACATTTTCGCATCTTGTCTCTGCCTTTTTACCTTTAATCGGCTTTGTTTGTCTTAACGGGAAAAGGTCATGCACCGCTGAGGCTGAAACTGAAGTTGAATCTTTATTTTTTGGGCCATGCTCGAGTTTTTTGACTGCCTGGCATTGTTTGTTTATAATTATGCGCTCGCTTGAACCCCCGACTATAATTAGAAACGGAGGCCATTTAGACAAACAATGTTTTTTTTCCCCTCATTTTATCAGCTTCAAGTTGACATTTCGCAAAGCGTTAATAAAAGAAAAATTTGCCGTTAAGGCAAATTTTTTGTATTCAAAAGCGAGCATTTTTCCTTTCTCTTTTAAGCACATATGTATATATATATATGTATATATATATACAATAAATATATATTATATATATATATTTTTTTTTTGACAGCAGCTATGCCAGCTGGTAAATTCAATAAGTAAATTGTATTTTTATGTGAATGGGATTGTATCTGCGCATCGATTTGAATGCGGCACGTACGGCATTACGGTCTGGTATTGGGGCACGCGGCATTAACGCAACAAAACGTTGCTTTTGCTTTGGTTGACCAAATATACGTGCTAGCGACCAGGGCAAGGAGAGCCGGGTTGGTCGGGTTTTAGTGTTCGACTAGCCCAAAACTCACTCAACCCGTCACTGCCATCAAATTCCAATCAAATGTTTTGCCACCACTGATTTTTAGAGATAGATACTTGCTCGTCTTATGCACGGAGAGGGAGTTATATAAGCTATGTGTGAGTTAGAATCAATTCACACTTAAATTTAAGTTGAAAACAGCATATGGAAGCATGATATCAATTTTTTTTTATACGCTTCTAGATAAGGTATTTTAATGTTGTTTTCAAATTTGAAAAGCATTGAAGAAAATCCCATAAGGTCTTCTTGATCGGAGCTGGCAAACAAACAAAAATAATATAATTTTTCTAACTTAAATCAAAAATTTATATGATGTCAGATTAAGGCCGTTTTACAAGGGTATGTAATCTTCGGTGTGCCCAAGATAAACTTTATTTCTTATTTATATATCCATAATCAATATAATTATATTTGCTTTCTTCTGTGTTGAGACAGTTATATAATTTTCTATTTAACAATATGTTATCTGTTGTTTGTAAGATAACTTGAAACTTTATTTTATAGTGGGCATCGAACTTCGGATATCTTTGTAGATGCTTAGTTCAAGTTTGTTTCGATTTGTAGGCACCGATATAGATATATATCAAATATTTTATCTTATCTTGACAAATATGTATATCCAATATATGATTACAATTTATGAGTGTGGCTATAAACAAAATGTTTTCGAGCACATGACAGATCAGAGTACGTAAGATTATATATATACCTGCTCATATATATATATATAGATATACAGAAACCAAATGTTTATATTGCTCTTAGCCATCTTTTCATTGGGTTTATAATTAGAACGCCTGGCGACAACAATTTGATAAACTCGGAGCAGCAGCTTTTTCGCCCAATGTTAATTTGTAAACATCGGCAATGTTTCTACTAGAAATTAATTGAAAGCCAACAACAAGCAAGTCGAATTAGCAGTGACATACTTATACTATATGCAGATAAATTTTCTTTTTGTATGTATCTGAATCTGTATCTATATCAAGCAGAATTTAAAACGTGACAAGCGGCAGCTGTTGGTGTTAATCTAAGCACTCTTAATTAAAGTGGCTATCGGAACTAATTGAAACTGTTGGTAACATATAAACATTTTCTTGATTATCTTAATGTAATCTGATTGAATAATAATCTTATCTTTGATTTGTAATTGTTATTTCTTAAGTTATTTTTATCAAAACTTGTAGCTTTATAGTATTTAACAGCTCTGTCAAAAGTAGCCCTGAGAGGTCTAGTTTCATTAACATTTGCTGAATTTCAGAGATTATTTAATGCATTTCTATTTCTTAGAACAAATTTCTATTATTAAGAAATAGATTAATGAAAAATAGAAAAAACCCTTTCAATTACAAGACATTTTTAAGTTATGGGTGACTATATATTTTGAAGTTTCGTCAAATTTAAATTGGGTTTATGATTTAATGGCAACACGTATGTAAGTGCATCCAATTTTTGGTATGACAACTCTGCAAATAATGTCAACATTTTGTTTTATGGCACTGTTGTTGTTGTGCAACCAAATTCTAGCCTTGAACTTTTTATTTGTGCTTACCAACAACAGAAAAGCCACAACAGCAACAAGCACAGCATACCAAGTGAGACACTGTGTGAGTGTATATGTATGTGTGGTATGTATACCTATATACATGTATGAACCTATGTATATATGTATGAATATGTGCACATTTGACAAATTGAATTGAGTAAAAGTTTTCAGTACAGCCGCATCGATTTGGTGTCTGCGGCATTTTGTTGCTGTTGTTTTTGTTGCTGATCGTTATTTAAACAAAAAGCTTTTCAAATGCATTCGAATTGCGTTGTTGTTATTATTGTTGTTGCTTCTTATAGTTCATCTAATAGAGAAGTTACGGAAATTTGTGTAAAATGGATTTTATTCGCTTTTTAATGCAATTTACATGCTGATGATTCAGTTGCCTGCAAAGGGGCTTGGCATTCAATTTACTGAAGCTTAAAACATGTAAGAACGTCAGCATTATCTGATTGCGTGATACTCTAACCCTCAATGTAATTATAATTTATACAGTGTGAAAGTGGGCGTGGCAATAATATGCATACCCCTTGTAGCGTTTGTCTGTCTTGGGCAAATAATTTTGCGATTTGGGGATAATTTACTTATGGGTAGTTCAATGGAGAAGAACGTGACTTCGGACGCCTTTAAAGTCCAAAAGCAAAGAAAACTGTAAAAAATATTATAATATTTTTGTTTTCCATTGCATTTTGACAATAATGTTTTAGCTACATGAACGTGATTTTAGAATTGCAATGCAAGCAAAATACAAAATTGCCACTAACATAACACTTTTCATATGTTTTTATACACTTTTGCTGTTCATAAAATGAGTGCAACCATAACATAAATAGATGAGTAAAAAATATTAAAAAGATGTAATTAAATGTAGCTAAGAGAATAAAACACATTTGCGATTTTCGAGCCAATTTTCTTGTAAAAACAACTGTTAAATGTTGCAAAAACAATACATATTTTTAAAATGTAAATTTAATTTTTTTGTGGAATTTTTAGACAATTTTTAAAGTACTTTGGGAAAGTGTATTAAAATTTGACTTGTTCGAAAAAACATGCATGGAAGTACATTTTTATAGAAATACAAGAAAGTTGCCAAAATTCTGGTAGTTATATCTAAACGATACAATTCTAAAGCCCATTGATTTACCGATTGCAACGTTGACCTAAATACCACAAATGCTGCAAGCTCAACTAATTTGAGCCTAGCTTGGCTCACATTTCTCCCAAGTAGCACGCGGGTGTGGAAACGGGAAGAGGCAGGAGGTCAACGGGAATGAGAACGGTCTCTAAGCGCATTAGTCGCGTTCACTACGGCTGGCTATAAGTTGGCGTTGGTTTAGCGCTAATGCATTTTCACCGGCCAGCTGGAAAATCTCTGTGGTCATTAGGGCCGACAGCTTGAAAAGGGGCAAGAGTTGGAGAGAGAAGGAGAGGGAGAGTGGAGTCAATTATAGCAAATGCACGGCAGCTGGCCAATGTCTACATAAAAAGAGACAGAGAGATAAAGAGAATAGAGTGTGGGAGAGTGAGGGAGAGAGGGAGAGAAAGAGCGAGAGAGAGAGAGAGAGATAGTCTAAACAACAATGAACAAAGCACAAAAAAAAGCTTGCCAATGCAGCGGATGAACGTTGAGTGACAGTGGCAGCAACAGGAGCTTCAAAAAACAACAAAGGCAACACAATCCGTAGTTTGTGA